GTGTTCTGCGCCCCATTTTTTTTTTTTTTTTTTAGAGNNNNCCCATTTTTTTTTTTTTTTTTTCAGAGCCGCCATTCCAGTTAGTTCCCACCAAAGCTCAGGGAGGGAACTGCTGCTGTCCCCATGTACAGATGAGCAACCAAGTCCCAACAGGGTGTCATCCCTGCTCAGTGCCACCCAACTGTTGACATTAGGCTCTAGATTTAGATCTGGTCTTTGGACCCCCAAATCTGTACCTTACACTGCATTTTCTCTTGACCCTCCAGGCCTTGGAGAAAGTTCTACCGAAGAGAACTGGCTACTCATTGCATGAACTGAGGTGCCGTGGAGCAGACCTGCCGGAAGCACAGGGTCTGGCGTCTGGTGGCCTGGATCCTGGCATCGACCACGAGGCCTTGGGCAGGTGACTTTGCTTTTCTGGGCCCTAGTTTCCTTCTTTGTAGGAGGAGACCCTAATACCCGCCTCACAGGGTTGTGGTGAGGACAAACATAATGCTTGCAGATGCCTCGGAGAAGGCTCCCGGGGCACTCCACGGACATTATGAATACACAGGGAGTCCCCCCAAAATGTACATGTGCTTTAACAGCTGATAACTCGCTTATTTTCACTCCTTTTCAGGTTTGACTGATTTGAAATACTGGGTGAAGCCAGACTAAGCTTTGAACAAAGAAAGTTTATCCTAAAGTGTCACTAGACTTTCTTATGGGGGACACATAAAAGATAAAGCTTACTGTACAAAACCGGCACCAGCCTACGAATTGAGGGTGCACAGATACCGAACGACGTGACTCTTGGTGTCTGCGATTCCGCTGCTTCGCGTTATCAGCAGGGCCTGGACCGGAACAGTCATCAGTTTGAAAATAGGCGTTGACCAAAAAATTATTCATTTCTATAGTCTTTGAAAGTTTGAAAATGGGCTGTATGTTAATAAACGCCGACTTTATAATCAAAGTGTGTATACATTTTGGGGGGACACCCTGTATGTGAAACAAAAACACCTACAGGTTTGTTCTGAAGGTTAAAGAAATGAGCAAGGTGACGACGTGTGGCACCCAGCGGAGGTGGTGTCTCCTGCCACCGCCCCCCTCTGCCTCCCCGCATTATACAGAGGACTCTGGGCCGGTAGAGAACACCATACCATGGGACCTTTTTATTAGGACAGACACGTGTTTCGTACAGGCTGGAAAATCAGAAACCCTGGGAAACTTATGCTCAGCTGAGCACACCAGGAATCAAACAAGTGTGGCCGCTGCGTCCCTGGGTAGGCGACAGGGTCCCAGGATGCTGGGGGACACAGGAGCTCCTCCCTCCAAAGTGGGTGTTCCGGGCAGAGGCTGGCTGCTCAGGCTGAGCCGGGCTGGTGGTGGGTCCCCTGGTCGGGGGTTTTCCAGACGGGCCTCCCAGCCCCCCACGTGGAGAAATGGCCTTGGGGCTCGCCAAGGCTCCTGGGCCTACGTGGTAGATTCTTCTAATCCTTGGCCACTGACTGCTCGAGGAAACAGCCGAGAACTGGGAGAGAAACGGCACAGCCCAAACAGAGTCCTCGTAGCATAGGCCTCGTAGCATAGTGCGAGAAAGCACTCCCGAGAGTGGGGCGAGGGCTCAGACAGGCCTGAGCCCAGGGGACCTTGCGCATGTCAGTTTCCCCTTCCCGGGCCTCAGTGTTCTCATCTGAGAAATGGCAATATGACCTGTATCACCAGTTTGTTTGAGCAACTGTACAAAATATGGCCTGACACAATAAACAGTGGCACAGCGAAGTCATTCTGGTCTTTTCTTTTATGACCCTGGATGGCTGGGTTTGGAGAGAAGTTCAAGCTAAATATTGAGGGCTTTAATCCAGGTCACAGAGTTATCAAGGTGGCAGCACCAGGATGTCCCCCTTAGATGTCTGCAGGACTCAGCTACTGTGACCTCCCCCTGCAAATAAAGTCCATTTTATTTCCTGTGTTTTATTTCCTGCCTTGGGAGACACCCTTCAACCTAGAGACACAAGGGAATCTGAATCTGACAGTTTGGAGCTGGAGCATCAGGGTTAGAACCCCCTCTTGCCCACCCTGCCAAGAACACTTAGGCTGAACCCCATTCTACAGATGGTAAGACTGAGGCCTGAGATCCACTCCATTCGATCCAGACAGACACACACAGGCACGAGACCCACAAAGGAATGCTGTCCCAGTCTCTTTGGCTTGGCTCGTTAAAAGATGAGGCATAGCTTTTTTCGGCCAGAGAAGAGGGATTACAATCTTCTTTCTCTCTCACTTTTTTTTTCCCCCAAGGAGTTGTGACTTTTTAATAGAAGTTGGTTCGTGTGCAGGCATTTTATTCCTCAATTAATTTCCATCTAAATGAGGTTTTCCCGGAGTTAACCAGTGTTTCAGTTCCATTTGAGCTTAATTTGTATGACTGAAGCCTCCGTTTCTGCCAATTCCAATTTGCTCGGTGATTCTAACTCTCATTACCTGGGCGATCACGCTCCCGCTGCAGACGGCCACACCAGGAGCCGGGAGATGGGCCGATTTCCAATCGCAATTCAGGGGAAAGGGGGTCCCTCTCCTCTCCCAGGACCACTCAATAAATAGGAAATAAATTATTAAATAAGCCATGTTCTGGTGGGAGATCCCCATCCATGGTATTTACAATGCAAAACAACCACCACTAAAACAAAAACAAAAACAACCCTTTAAAAATAAAAACAAACAAACAAACAAAAAACAGCCACAGACGGGAGGTGACAACTCCAGCAGTCTCATTTCCACTGGTGCGGACTTTAACAAAGCGCGGCTTGATGACTGCTTAGCATCGTTCCTCAGCTCGACTCCGTTGGCCCGTGCGGGAGGGGGCCAATGTGTTTTAAGGAATCCTGTGGGTTTTTAATTTTTTATATGAAATTTTATATTCAGCTGGACAAAAAAGCAGGATACATGCACGCGAGACTACTTTGGATACTCGGGGGAAAAGAGCCCAGCAGAGAACATTTCCAAGAGAAATGTCCCAGGCTCTTTTCCGTTTTTTCTAAGTCTCGGTGAACTTGCTCTGTCTTTGAAGAATTGCCCAGGTCTCGGGCGAACATGTGCGATTGTATCTCAAAACCGCCTCCACTTCTCAAAGGTGGAAACTTTGGCCCAGAGACCGGGCGCGATTCGCCCAGGCGCACCCGATCCGTGAGCCCCTGCGGCGGGAAGGGGAGGGAAGGGGAGGGAAGGGGCTGTGCGCTCGACCTCAAGCCACGTCCCCTTCCCTCTTCCCCTTCGGGCTTTTAGGTGAAGTTCTCATCGAGAGCAGGTTGCAGGCCATCTGTCTCCTTCCCCGGAAGCAGAAAGTAACGAGGGTAGGCAGAGAAATAGCGATGCCAGGGGTTGGGGGCTCTGGTCCAGCAAGGTTACCAGTGCCCCAACAAGAGTCTTATTTTTGGAGAAAATAAGAAAATGTGAAGGAAATTAGAGAAACACACCAAGTGAGAGAGAGGGACAAAGGTTTCCCCCAGGAGGCATTTAAGCAGCCTGCCTGCAAACCTTCCCCAGGCCAGAGGGGATTCCCTTGCTTGGGCTAAGGCAGGGTGAAGTCACATTGCCAGGGAAACAGCCAGGGCTGTTGCAGAAGTCTCACCAAACCCAAAGCTGGGCCAGGCAAGCCGGCCATTTCAAGGCAAGGGGTAGCGGCTTTGGAAAGGACAGGAGCCGTCTCCAGCCACCAACCACCGCTAGTGGGTCAGAGAAGCCTCTGGTCCTGGTTCCCAAGGATGGGTTCTGAAATGACCTTCTTTGGGGGAACCTCCAGTTGCCCCCTTTACACCCCCCACTAATTTCAGAAATAGCTTTGTTCTCTCTCTCCTGATAGAACAGCAGCAGATCCCAGAAAAAGACTTTTGCTTTGGGTTTGCGTGTCTCTCCCAGGATGACTGATACCTGGTCACAAGGCAGCCTGTGGACCCACTGCAGAGAACAGAGCAGCATCTCAGGGGGTGGGGAGAAACGAGCCCCAGGGGTCAGAAGCCTGAGTAACGTACAGGAAACCAGCCAGGCATGCCCGGAAATGCTGACCCATCCTACCCACAAATACACGAAAATACCGAAAATACGCCCTGGAGTAGGTGGGATTGAGACATGCGTCTTCCCTGCTCTGTCACAACTCCGGCCTCACACGGTCTGAGCGCCTCGCTGACTCCAACTGCCATCCCAGTGTTGGACCCCGGGTCACCTGCAACCGCTGTGGCCACTCAGACACAGGCAGCTACTTGAGTAAGTGCTAACGGAAGCCTCAGCAGTCCATCCAGAGGCGGCACACCTGTCTCCCGTTGGGCCCAAAGGACTTGCACGATAACTTCAGGCTCCAACCCCCACGTAAGCTGTGACTCCAGTGTCATCAATTCAGCTCCTAAGCTCATAAGCTTCTTGGCCATTGTAATGTTCCTGATACCTAGTGAAGCAGCTGGTGGGCAGGGGGCTGAAGCACAGGCCTGAACCTCATTGACCCTGGGCTGAGGAATGAACCTGGGGGCTTGAAGTGCACTGGGGCCACCTCCAGGATGTCCTGGGGCTTAGAGCTCGGTGGCTCCCACCTTCAGGGCAAAGGCCAACAGCACCACCCACATCCCATCTCTCAAATCCCATCCATAGAGACGCGAGGGGAAAAAGGGAGATGCACAGAAATAACCTAGAAGACCCTCCCTCCGTCTTCCCCAAACACACATACAAACACACACAAGCACACACACAGCCTCTCCATATAAATAAATAAATAGCTGAATACTGCTAATGGTGACCCAGAGAGAGATCTCATCACATAAATAAATAAATAAACATAAATACGTAATAAATAAGCAGTTTGCTAGCAGCCGCAGGCAGAATGGTGCCCTAGGGCCGCCTGAATGAAGGCAGTCTGAACCGGAGGCTCCTGGGCCTCTCGCTTCTGTCCTAAGGAGGTTCCGTGGCTCCGGGAAGCCTTAGTCTCCACGGAGGGAGAAGAGTCCAGCCGGGGCACCTGGCCGGGAAGAGGGTTATTTACATTTGCTGTACAAGCCCTCCCCGGGGCACCTGCCCCTGTCCCAGGCACCTGCCATCCGGCCTTCCGTGGTGACAGCATTGGCATCCGTGTCTTGGCGGGCGGGGTCCAGGTCTGGGCCAGAGGGCGTCATGGGGAGGCCAGGTCCTGGACAACCTCGCTCCGCTCTCCTGGTGGAGGAAGGACTTTTGGGGGTGGTTCCAGGGCAGTTTCTGGCCCCACAGGCAGATGTGATGGGAACGATTAGGGAGGGGAGGGTCGCTGCTTCCAGAAAAAATGATTTTTCCCCCCCAAATGTTTTCCCTGCGGTGTGAGGGATAAAGAATGTTTGATCCCTGCTTCCCCAAAGCCCCAGTATCCAGAGCTGGGACCTGTCCCCTCTCACTCTCTCCATGTCCTGTCCCACTGCTGTTGCCACCACAAACTTAAAACTCACCCACGAGGCTCCAGAAAGCCAGTCAGCTGGTGAGGGGGATGCCCAGGAGTTATTTTAAGGATCGTCTCTCTCACACCCCTGTTCTCAGTGCCTTCTGTGGATGGAGCAGCTGCTGGTGTTTGTGTTAGAGATCAACTTACCCCCACGGCCCAGCCCTGGGCAGGGGGAGGTGGGCTGAGGGCAGCAATGAGGTGGGGCTTCCCCGAGCTGACAAGGAACTTCAGAAGCCAGTGGGAGCCCAAGCCATGGGGCATCCGACACCCCCAGACTCTCTGGATTTGAGTCCTTTCCCCCAAACCTGAGCGGCTATGCCCCATCCTGGCAAAATTCCTGAGAGGCAAAGGGGGTGACTTAGGCTGAGGGTAGGTGCTCAGCCGCACTGGGTAGGATCCAGGGTGTGGCAGCCTGGGTGGTGGGGAGGGGGCAGGCAGGCGCCAACCAGAGGGTAAGGCCAGACGGGCTGGCGCTGGGGACTGGCAGCTGGCCATGGCACCGGGGAATGTTCAGCAGATGGTCCCGTGGAATTAAGTTGGTGCCAGCTAGCGGGGCTGAGACAGATTTGGGAAGTGGGGCTGTGGACCATGCTGTCCCGACTGTCCACGGTGTCCTTTCTCAGTGAGGTTGCAGGGTCCCTGTGAACAGCCAAGAGGCATTTCGGGTAAGCCACGTGGTGGCCTCTCCATTGCTAGAACCTACTGGGCTCCTTTTCCTGACCATGCTGGGGTCCGGGGAGCAGCGGACTGACCCTCTTCCTCTGTGTTTCTACGTTCATGGTCAGAGGACCCTACTGCCAACAGAAATGTCCTTGTCCCCTGCTCATATACGTCCCCTCTTGTAGGACTCAAAAGCCTTCTAGCCTTTGCCGTGGCCTGTTTGGAGGTGAAAGGCCTGAGCCCCCTCCTGGAGCTGAACTGTCCTTGGCCTCCTCTCCCCTACCCCCCACCCCCACGCGGGTCCGCAGGTGCAGCCAGGAGGCTGAGTGCGCAGGGGGCAGGTGCGATGAGTTAGCCCTGGCCTTCCCGAGGCGTCCCGGGAACCATCTCTGCGTTTTCCTGGCCAGGCCCCATTGCTTCTTAAAAAACACTTGAAGGTTTTTGTGCCAACAGAGGGTGGTTCTCTCCATAGGCCCAGGCCTGAGTTGAGCCCCAGGGTGGTGCTGGTGGAGGCTCCCAGCAGCTCATTAACATAGGAGCCGAGGCCCCCATGCCCCCTTTTGGCTCTCCCCAGGAGAGCCCCCAATGTCTGTCACCAAGGAGAAGGCAGGGTGGGC